ACAAAAAAAAAAAACACCAAAAAAAAAAAAAAACAATTTTAAATAAACAAAACCGATAAATAATCGCTTTAATGTTCAGATCCAGATAATTACTTTTCTGGCGTGGGAAGAGCAGGCCGCTGAAATCATTAGTCTCTGTAGATGATCTATCGCAGCTGGAGGAAGATGCCAGCATGCTTATGTGAGGAGGAAGGAGGAGGAAGAAGGAGGAAAGGAGTGAAGTCTTAGGGAAGAAGGAAGAAGGAGAAGGGAAAGGGAAGGAAGGAGGAAGTGTAGGTGAATGATGGAAGAAGGAAGAAGAGAAGGAGGGAAAGCCAGCAATGCTTATGTATAGGAGGCGAAGGAGGAAAGAGGAAATAAATTAGAAAGGAGGAAAAGCGCAGCATCTTATGTGAGGAGGAAAAGAAGGAGGAAGTGTAGAGATGGAGGAGATTAAATGGGAAGAAGGGAAGATGATTGGAGAAAAGCCAGCATCTTATCGAGAGAGAGGATTGTAAGGAGGGAGGAGGAAGAAGGAGGTAAGGAGGAAATGTTGAGAAGAAAAAATTAATGTCAGAGAAAGGAGGAAAGAGAAGGAGGAAAAGCCAGCATCTTATGTTAGGGAGGAAGAGAGGAGGAGGAAGGAAGAAAGGGTAGAGAAGAGGAAATAAATGAAAGAAGAGGGGAGAGAAGGAGGAAAAGCCAGCATCTTATGTGAGAAGAGGAAACAAATGAAAGGAGAGGGGAGTGAAGGAGGGAAACCAGCAATTATGTGAGAAGGATGAAGGAGGGAAGAGGAAGTGTAGAGAAAAGGAACTAAATTAAAGAAGGAGGGAGAGAATGAGGAAAAGCCAGCATCTTATGTGAAGAGGAAGGAGGAAATGTAGAAAAGAAGATACAGATTAAAGAAAGAGGAAGAGAAGGAGGAGAAGCCAGCATATTATGTGAGGAGGACGAAGGAGGAAGGAGGAAGGAATAGAGAAAAAAAAAAAATAAAAGAAAGAGGTAGGAGGAAAATATGGAAGAAGGCGGAAGAGAAGGAGGAAAAACGAATGATGAATGGAAGTGAAAAGAAGAAGAAATAAAAGGAAGGAGGAAGTGTAGAGAAGAGGAAAATATGGAATAAACAGGAAGAGAAGGAGGAAAAGGAGATTAATTAAGGGAGAGAAGGGAGGAAGTATAAAGAATAGGAAAATAAGTGGAAGAAGGGGGAAGAGGAAGTGTAAAGAAAGGAAGAATGGAAGAAGGGGAAAAGAAAGAAAAAAGGAGGAACTACAATAAGAAAAAAAAATGAAAGTAGGAAGAAAGGGGTGAAAAAGCGGGCAATGTAAGGATGAAGAAGCTGGAACGAGGAAAAGAAGAAAATGGTAGAAGGCGGAAGAGAAGGAGGAAAAGCCGGCAAATTATGGAAGGAGGAAGGAGGAGGAAGGAAGGAAGTGGAAAGAAAGGGGAAAAGAAGAGAGGAAAAGCGAGTATCTAAAGTGAAAGAGGAAGAAACAGAAAGAGAAGTGGAAGGAGAGAGAAAATAGATATATATAAGAAATAAGGAAAACCTGTGGCTCGTTTTTTCTCTCTCTCTTTTTTCTTCCACTCCTCTCTTCTCTCTCTTTCTCTTTGCATCCTCTCTTCTCGTCTCTCTCTCTCTCTCTCTCCCTCTCATTCTCTCCTTCTTGATTCTCCCTCTACTCTTCTCTCTCTCTCTCTCTCTCTTCTCTGGTCTCTTCGTCGCTCTCATCTCTCTCTCATCTCCCTCGCCCCCCCTTCCCTCTCTATCACCTCCCTCCCTCCTCTCCGTCACTCTCCTCCTCTCTCTCATTCAGTCTCTCTCCTCTCTCATCGTCTCTCTCTCTCTCTTCTCTCTCATCTCCCTCTCTCTCTCTCTCTCTCGTCATCTCTCCCTCCTCTCTCTTTCTCTTTTCTCCTCTTCTCTCCTCTCTCCTCTCTCTCTCTCTCTCTCTCTCCCCTCCCCTCTCCACCCGTCTCTCCCCCCTCTATCTCTCTCTCTCTTCTCTCTCTCTCTCTCCCTCCTCTCTCCTCCATTCCTCTCGGTCTCTCTCTCTCTCTCTCTCTCCTCTCTCGTCTCTCATCTCTCCTCCTCTCTCTCTCTAACTCCTCCTCCCCACCACCCCTCTCTCTCTCTCTCTCTCTCCTCTCTCTCTCTCTCTCTCCTCTCTCTTTCTTTTCTCCTCTTTTAATCTCTCTCCTCTCTCTCTTCCTCTCTCATCTCTTCCTCTCTTCGTCTCTCTCTCCGGCTTCATCGTCACTCTCTCTCCAGACTCTCAACGACTCATCCTCCTTCTCTCTCTCCTCTCTTTCTCATCTC